ATTTGGAAGTCAAAACTGGCAACGAACTCTAGTATACCAGCTAGAAATAAAGTCTGGCGAGCGCTTCTAGAAATGAAGGTATTTCAAATTTTCTTTGACGTTTTTTAGATGCGAGTATTTTAGCCAATCGAGTTTCCAAGCATTCTCGAAATCTACGAGCAAATTAGTGAGGAAATTGAAAAAATGCGTAAACCACAATTGAAACATTATGTTTGTAGTAACTTGCACGAATCTTTCAAACGTCTATCCAGATCTTTAGACATGCACAAAACTAGAACCATTCTGTCAACAGCTGTTTACGAAACTTTCAAAAACAGGAGCGTGGACGAAATTTAATTGCAAGAATTCGCTAGAATTGTGTAAGAAAATGCAGGAGCAAAAGAAGTTGGAAAACAAAAAGTATGTTTTTCCAATTTTTTTATAAGGTTTAGGAAGAAAAATAAACCCAAAACGGACCTATTTGTCAAATTAACTGCAAACTTTGCATTTCAGAGAGAGAAAGGCATTGGTAGACATGCTACTGGAGCAGTTGACGAAGAAGGATTTGTCTCATTCACGGATCAAGCTTTGTTGTACGATGCTATGGCGTTGTCAGATGGAGAAATCTGGAATAGAGACGATCAAAGTGATTAAATTTCATTTACCGTTTATTTCTGAGATATAGACGTCTAGTGTTTAAGGTTCTGCTCTCAAGATATGCCGACGAGGAAAAACACTTTCGTGACCAAAGTGCGGATGCACTTTGCTATTGGTTGAAAAAGAACAAAGCAAAGACTGTTCGTATGAATTGGGGATGTCCAGCAAAGGTATTAGCTTCTAAAAAAGAACAAGATGAACCAGTATCCTTGTTCAGCCAGTAGAAAAGATAGCCCTGAAATGTGGCCTTCGACCTGACAACCTTTGCCTTGCTTATGATTCTATGAATCTTCCCAATACGGAGGAAAAGTGGAATAGCACCTTATTCATGTCGAAACAGCACGGCTGCTACAAATGGCCTCCGTAAGCACAAACTAAAAGACTCCTTTTTGCATCCGTACAGTACGTTTCGCAACTATAAGCACGACAGCCTAAGTAAGGCACAGTAAAGTAGGGAAACTCAGAACATGGCTCTCAAATATGACAAGGTCAGTGTACCTTTCACACCTCATCACTCTTTCGTCACCCCCTTTTTGTCATGTCCTGACCTGTTACAATCTTCAATACTTTTCCATGCGTCCTGCAACGGAATGATTCAACACAGCGTCCGAGCAAAACTGTGAATTTTTTCGCTTACCTAGGCTTATTCTTTCCGCTGATCTCGAAAATGCGGCTTGCAGACTACGAAGATGTTGAAAACGGGCTCAGAAGCTGGATTTTGAATATGAATTGCGGCCGAGGTTAAGACACGAGCCTGGTAGGACTCTACGTCTTTACCTGTGCGACATACGTATTCTGGCTATCACTGAGGGGGAGGGCAAGTCGCCGTGGCGTTTCAGTCGCCACTTCTGAAGCTCTCGCTTCAGAAACGAAGTGGTGC